GCCCTCCATAGCACTGTGCACCCCTCCTGTCCCCAACCCCTGCCCTCCATACCACTGTGCACCCCTGACCCCACCCTCCAGAGCCAAGAGAGCGAGGGGGTGGGGATGCAGGGGGGTGGGGATGGCAGTGGAGAGAGTGCCTGCTCAGAAGTCTCTTGGGTGGAGCTTGATGTCCTCAGCAAATGCAGCCTTCAGTGCATACCCCTGCCCCTGACAAGGCCTGCCCTGCCCTCTCTGGGCTCGACCTTGGGTGAGTCATTTCTCCTTTCCCAGCCTCAGATTCTTCCCCCGTGGTTTGGGTTCCCGTGAGGAGTAAATGAGAAGACACATAAAAAATGTCCGCTCAGTAGTCAAGGAGCAGAAGTGTTCCTTGTTCGGATGGCCTTGAGGGAGGACACGCCTGGGACGTGGGGAGGCTGTGGGGGACCCGGGCCCCCTGAGGGACAGTGGAGTTTATTTAACAGGGCCTCACAGCAGAAGTGTGGCTCCAAGGGTGTGGCTTTTGGCCACGGGGTTGGCACCGCTTTGTCATTCCTGCTGGAGACACGGGCCTGGACAGTGGTCCTCTGAGCCCAGACCCAAGAAGGCCAGTCCCCAAGAAGCCCTCTCTGTGTCCCCCATCTGCAAAATGGGGGAAGAGCTCCTTCTCTCTTGCATAACACGCAGGACACCCGGCACATAGCAGGTCCTCGGTCACCTGCTGCTTCCTTCCTGTCCTTAGCCCTAGCCCCACCTCCAGCTCACCAGCCACCCTCTGTGGTTCTCAGGGCTCCCCGGGGTGCAGGGCAGGGCTGTTTATTCAGCTCTTGGAGTCTCCCGGTTGAGTAGCCAAGAGTGAGCAGTCTGCAGAGGGCCAGCCAGCAGGGCACCTCCCCAGGGCTCAGGGATGCACAAGGCCAGCCTCTCCAAATGCTGGATGCTCCGCACACATCGCTGGTTTAGTTCTCACAGAGTCCCTGTGAAAAGGCTCAGGAAGAGGTGGCTGAGGCACAGAGAAGTGGTGTCCCCCACTCAGAGTCACACATCCAGCTCCTGCTTCCTGAAGGGCTAACAGCATCCCAGAGCGGCCACTGCAGACGGGGAGGGGGCGGGTGTCTAACCGGCCCTGCCTGAAGGGGAGGGGCATTCAAGGTGGAAGGAAGGCCTGAGCAAGAGCCTGGAGGTGGGAACCAGGGGCCGGTGTGGGGGTCAGAGGCTGGGCTTGGCCGGCACGGGGTTGCTTCCTGCAGATTCTAGGCAGGGCTGTTGAGGCCGTTCGCCTTCAGGAGCAGCAGCCCTTCAAGGACTCTGAGTGGGGAGGAATATGGTGAGGGCGAGACTCAGGCTGGGATGGCAGGGCTGTCCCGGGGGGGCTGCCGTGAGACGGAGAATCTGGCCTCACTGGACCCTGGAGGGCTGCACGCGGCTCAGCTCACCCACTGGCTGGTTTGCAGAGGGGATCAGAACTTTCCATGCAGACCAGTCATATCCCTGTGCCGAAGGCCCCTGGGAAGGGGTGCTCCATCTGGTCTGTCCTCTCTGGGGGCTGCTTGGGGTGATGAGAATGGGACGCTCCAGGTGGAGGCCCCACCACAGGCCCAACAGCCCCCAGGCTGCCCCACAGCCTCGTTCCCCAGAAGAGCCAGGAGTGGGGGCTGCCCAGAGTGCCCAGCCCTGCCTCTCCCCCGCAGGAACACGACATCGAGACGCCTTATGGCCTTCTGCACGTGGTGATCCGGGGCTCCCCCAAGGGGAACCGCCCGGCCATCCTTACCTACCATGACGTGGGCCTCAACCGTAAGTGCACCTCAGCATCCTCTGGCCTTCCTCTGCCTGGAATCTGCCAGAGCAATGAGGCTCCCTTCCCTCCCCGTAGGACCCCGTAGATCCCCACTCACACTTAGCTCTGTGCCCTTAGCCATTTGGGCCTCAGTTTGCCCGCTGGACCGTGAGGCTGATCACCTCTGCCTCGCCCTGCCTCTCTGGCCCGCAGGCCTCCCTCCCTGCTCTGCTCAGCCAGAGCTGAGAGGTGTGTCTTTGCAGACAAGCTGTGCTTCAACACCTTCTTCAACTTCGAGGACATGCAGGAGATCACCAAGCACTTTGTGGTGTGCCACGTGGATGCGCCCGGTCAGCAGGTGGGGGCGTCACAGTTTCCTCAGGGGTAGGTGCCCGGAGCACCCCTCCAGGTCCCCCTGGCTCTGCGCCCCGGACTGCACCCGGGCCTGACTCCCTGCTCTGTCTGCAGGTACCAGTTCCCCTCCATGGAGCAGCTGGCCGCCATGCTCCCCAGCGTGGTGCAGCACTTTGGGTGAGTCCCCCCACAGCCCCTGCCCTGCCCTGCCCCTGTGCTGGGGGCCGGGGGGTGCCCACCACCACCGCAGAGCCGCCAGGCTCCAGCTGAGGGTGGAGGGCTGCGGGTGGGGCCTGCTCCGGTGACAGTCATGGGAGATGGCACCCCCCTCCCTAGAGTGAGCATCCATGCTCTCCACCAGGTTCAAGTACGTGATTGGCATCGGAGTGGGAGCCGGAGCCTATGTGCTGGCCAAGTTTGCCGTGAGTCCCCCCAACACCCTCCTCTACCCCAATCCCTGCCACCATCCCAGAGCAAGTCTCTCCCGGGGGCAGCCTTTCAGCCACAGGGAACTTTCTCTGCTGTTTCTTCCTTCTCCTCTCTCTACTTCCTCTTCACTTAGAAAAGCCCTTTTTTCTTTTTTTCCTCCAAGGAAATTAACTTGAAAAAAAAAATAGGTTACTTTGTCCATACATTTCCTCAAGACTATAAACTATAACTTGCTTGACCATGATCCAAAGCCAAAACCTCTATTAACAACTAGACCACTGATTGCTCCAGCCACTAAATAAGGATTATCCTAATCACTCACTCACTAATTAGGGTAATATGTAAACATGAATCGTTTTTTAACCCAAAAGTACACTTATGTTAAGTTTGCGAGGTTTAAAGAAACTCACATTTCAGAAACATCCTGTCAGGGAGGAGCCTCCAAGTTTCTCATCTCTAAAAACAAAACTTAATTTTCAGGATTCTAAATATTTCTTTCTTCAAAACAAATGACCCCAATTTTTCAACTCCAGTTTCGATCTCAGCACTTAACCACTCTATTCCCCGTAGACCATTCCCTGCGCCCCCAGACAAACCGGACACGGGTGTATTATATGTATATTGCCATTTTCCCCTAAACGTAGGCAGTTGAACAGAACATGCGAATCTCTTTTACAATATCTAACACAAAACAGGTCAATTTCTTACTTCATTTCAATTTGGAAATGTCAATTTCTTATTTAACATCACTAAGCCTTCTTTTTCTATTAGAGCAAAGAAACAAAATGGTTTATTACAGATGTTTAATCCTCAGTTTTACAATAGCAGCATCTTCAAAGATATATTAAAAGAGGTGGAAAACAGTGATGTAGGCATCGATTTGAAATAAATCAAAGAATTTTGGAAGCTTCCAGGTGGGGAGGAGGCCGAGTAGGGGCAGCCGGCAGTGAAGCCCAGGCAGGTTCCCAGCTGTGGCCAGCTGGGTCATCAGTGGCATCTTGAAGCCCTTACAAGGCGTGTCCTTCTCCTCGGACCCTCCCACCCACCTGTGAAGGAGGGAGGGCCAGAATTTTATAGCCCGTTTTCTAGGTGGGAAGATTGGGGCTCCCTGCACCCCATCCCGCCCCCCCAAGCTCTGTCTCCCTCTCACGGCAGCTCATCTTCCCCGACCTGGTGGAGGGGCTGGTGCTGATGAACATCGACCCCAACGGCAAAGGCTGGATTGACTGGGCCGCCACCAAGGTGAGCATGGTCTACCTGGACGGGGCGGGGGGCGGGGGGCAGCACTCACACGGCCTCTGCCTCTGCCCGCAGCTCTCCGGCCTGACCAGCACTTTACCCGACACGGTGCTATCTCACCTCTTCAGCCAGGTAAGGGGATGGGGGCCATCCTCACGTAGGAGCCCAGGGGTGGCCAGGCTGGGGGTCTTAAGGAGCCTCAGGCAGCTTCTGAAGGGCCTGGTTCTGCCCCCTTCCAGCCGGGCGGGAGGAGGGGAGGGGAGTGGGTTGTGTGGCATCTGACCTGTCTCACCCTGTCCCCGGCTGTTGGCCACGGTGCTGCGGCATCTGAAGGACAGATGGGGGGCCCTCCTCCCCCAGCTCTGTGGACCCTCCCCTCCCCTCCTGAGGCCCACTCCCCTCCCCCCACCAGCTGGGAGCTGGCAGGGGCTGCTCTGGTGGTGACACCTGCACATCCCCTCTGAGCCCACGTCCCTGTCTGTCTGCCCCGCTCCGTGCGTCCCCATCCATCCCCCTGGGCCCAGGAGGAGCTGGTGAACAGCACAGAGTTGGTGCAGAGCTACCGGCAGCAGATCGGGAACGTGGTGAACCAGGCCAACCTGCAGCTCTTCTGGAACATATACAACAGGTGCGGACCGCGTGGGGCTCAGCAGCACTGGGATGCAGAGCCCCCAGTCTACTGGGGGCCCCCTCGCTACCACCGCCCATGGGAGGAGGGAGGCAGGCTGGCAACACACTGCCCCCCGTTTGTAGATGAGCAGATGACTGAGCTTGCCGAGGGTCACACCCCTTGAGGGGCACGGGGGGAGCAGGGCTTCAGACTCTGGTCCTTGGGCTCTTGCACTCCTCCTTCCTTGGGGCATTGCCCGCTGGGAGCAGTGGGGGATGTGGGCGACATCCCTGACCCCAGGGACCCTGAGCCTCAGTGCCGACCGACGTCTATAAAATGCAGAGGAGGCTGGATGAAGTCTGTGGTTTGCAAGCTCTGCTCCCTGGAGCCCCTTTGGGGGTTGCCCTGCAGGGGACTAGCCAGGCACCTCCACCCCCCACCTGCCCTCCCTTTTCTTTCTCCTGAAAATATTTACTAAACACCTGCTGTGTGCATGACGCTGGAGAAACCTTGCAGAACAAGAGAGGCCCAGGCCCTGCCTCCCACCGTGGCCCAGGAATCCCAGCAGAGGGGCTGGTGCACGTTCATGAGTGCCCCGAGGCGGAGGGAGTGCCAAACGCAAGGGCCCACCTGGCATGATTTGGGGGTCCAGGAAGAAGTCATGCATGAGGGGAACCCTGAACCCCTATTTATGCAGAGCAGGCCCCTGTCTCCCCGTTTCACCAGTTGGGATCTATGGGGCTGTGTTCCACTGTTGGAACTGGATGCCTGGATGAGCTTGAGCCCCACCTCTGGGACCAGCCAGGGGCCTCTAGCAATGCTGGACCATAATTGCCATTAGTGGGGTGGGGTATGGCTGAAATACAGCAGTTCCGGGCTTAGGGTCACTGCCCCCCTAATGGATCCAGTCCTGGGATGCCCATCTCGGCCTCTCCCTGCAGCCGCAGAGACTTGGACATTAACCGGCCTGGAACGGTGCCCAACGCCAAGACGCTCCGGTGAGTGCCCCCTCGCCCTCCAGCCTGCCCCGCCTGTGCCCCCTGCCCAGGCCAGACAGCCCTTTTCCTCTGTGTCTGCAGCTGCCCCGTGATGCTGGTGGTCGGGGATAATGCGCCTGCTGAGGATGGGGTGGTGAGTGAGGGACTGAGCCCTGCTGGGGTGGGAGGCAGGAGTAAGGGGGTCACTGGCCCCTGGGCAGCAGGGCCAATTCTTGACCCAGCCCAGGGAAGCCTCAGGGACAGGCTGGAGGGTGGGCTTCTCATCCCGCTTCCCCACCAGCTTGCCATGTATCACCGCCTGGCACAGCCCCCATCCTTCAGGTGAGGGAGGCCTGGAGATGGGAGGGAGCTGGGGCCGGGGTACCTGATGGCACCTGATGGCTCCCTTCTCCCTGCCCCCAGCAGCAGCCCCACCTCAGTCTCAACCCACTTCAGGCCCAGAGACTGATCTCTCTTCTAAGATTTGATTCACTCATTATGAAATAAGGAATTCATGAGCACAGCAGTGGTTTCCCTTTGACCTCATCACATTTGGGGATTGTGTGTCACCTCTCCTGTTGGAACTCTGGGAGCAGGCAGCCTGGGGGCCTCATGTCCCCCTCGGCACAGAGGGTCAGGGGTCCAGGAGTGCTCAGGGCAGCCCCCAGCGTGCACAGAAACAAGCATGCCCTCCCTGCGCCTGAGGGTTTGGGGAGCAGGGGTGTGGGCTGTGCCGGTCTAGACCCAGGCAGAGGCCTGAGTCTCCTGCTGAGCTGTGGCCCTCCCTCCCCTCACCGCTGACTCCTGTCATCCTTGGTGCTTTCCCAGCCACTCCCGCCAAGGTGACCCTGGCTCTCCGTAAGGACACTGCCCAGCCCCTGCCCCATTCCCGCCCCACCAGCAGTTGTGAGTAGAGTCCTAGGGTCCTGATCTCCAGGGGTCTGGCCTTTCGGAAGGCAGCCTGGGGAGGGGCAGCCTCAGCAGGGGCCTGTGTCTGCCCCCTGCACTCCTTCCCTCACTGACAGAGCCTCCTGGCTCTGGGGAGAGAACCTACTTTAGCAATGGGGCAGGGGGCTCCCCTGATGCCCTCATGGGGGCAGGGGCCCCTTGCTCTGCTAAAGCTGGCTCCTTGTCCCCAGGTCGAGTGCAACTCCAAACTGGATCCAACCACCACGACCTTCCTGAAGGTGAGGCCTTCCTCCCCAGCCCTGGGCCGGCTCCCCACCATGGGCCCAGCCTCAGAGAGGGGCCTGCCTGGGGTCCCAGCCGGGTCGGGAGCAGAACCGTGCGTCTGGTCAGGGAAGCCTGTCCAGGTGTGCAAGGCCCACGCGAGGTGCGGGGTGGCCCCTGCTCAGCTCACCCCACTCTTTCCCCTGCAGATGGCAGATTCCGGGGGGCTCCCCCAGGTCACACAGGTGAGACTCTTGGTCCTCCCTCCCTTACCTAGCCCGGGGTGGGGGAAGCCTCCCCCCGCCCCCCAATCCCAGGCAGCCAATCAAAGCCTGTGCCTGTCTCGCCCTCTTGCAGCCTGGGAAGTTGACTGAAGCCTTCAAATACTTCCTGCAAGGCATGGGCTACAGTAAGTACACCTCCCGCACCCGCCCTGGAGACTGGGGGCAGGCAGCGAGGTGGGGCTGAGCTGCCTGTGGGCATGCGAGCTCTGTTCCTGGGGGCCCCGATGCTGGGCCACTCGGGCCACATCCTCCCCACCATAGCTGGGGCCCCACTAGGGCATCTCCACCCAAATTGTAAGTCAGTCAATCATCCCGGGCTGTGCCCAGCTCTCCTGTGCCCTTGGGGGTGCTTTAGGGCACTGCTCTCATGGCTGGGCCTGTCGGGATGGGGGACTCTCATCCCAGTCCTGGGGGACCAGGGACCAGGGCTGGGTCCTGCCAAAGAAGCCCACCTGAAGGTGAGTCAGATACACCACCCACCTGGACCGGGCCTACAGCACCTGAGAAGGGCGTTTGTCACAGGTGGTGGATGGCACCAGGGGCATCAGAGGAGTGGGCTTGGAGTCTGGGGAGTGGGGAAGGCACTTGGGGCCATCTGGGTGTTAGGAGAGCTGAGGCAGCGAGCCTGAGGGTGGCATAGCTGAAGACCCTGAGCTAACAGGGGTCCTGCCTGCCCCCTCCCTGCCTGCCCCCCTCCCTTCTCCAAACTTCCCCTTGTGCAGAGACGAGACTCCCAGACTGTGCTCATCAGCCCAACACACACATGCACGCACGCCCCTCTGCTGGCACACGTGCGTCTCCTCGACCCAGCCCTCTCCCCCATACACCTGGCTCTCCTGCAGGAAGCAAACCTCCTCTCCCTGAATTTGTTTTCTCTCCCAGACTTCAGGCTCTGGAGCTAGTGCCTCCTTGGGATGACAGGCCTGTGGGGGACGGGAGGGGACACATCCAGGAATAGATCTCCCCCGCCCCCAGGGGCCTGCCAGCCTCTCTGTGGAGAAGTAGGGCAAAGAGAGGCCAAGGCCAACAGCGAGACACAGCGAGAGCTCCGAGGCTGGGCCCCGAGCACCGGGGCACCCGGTGAACGTCTGTGGGGCGAGTGGATGAGGAGCACTTGTCAGGGGCTGGGACGTGTTCTCGGGGCCCCAGGAGAAACACCACCAGGCACCTAAGAGCTGGGGGGGGTTTGGAGGTTGTGCAGGCCTCTCATTCTGTATGTGGGGGGACTGAGGCGAGGGCACTGGGACTAGGATATGGCCGTAAAGGCCTTGTCCACATGAGCCCCTCAGTGCTGCAGCCCAGGCTGGAGAAGCGGGGGTCAGATGAGTGCCCCACCCTGCTGTCGGGGCTCCAGGGGCCAGACTGAGACCAGCCCGCGCCGCGGTTCCTCCTGGGGCCGCTGCCGTGGTGGGTGGGCCGGGGGAGCATCCGGAGGCTCTGGCCCTGCCCCAGCCCTCTCTGTGCCTGGACCTGCATCTCATCTCTGGCCCATCTCAACACCCTGCCTCACCGGACCACGCTCTTCACCCGTGTTCTGTCTCCCCACCCCCGCCCCCTCCGGCTCTGTCTTCTCTCTTAGTTGCCTACTTGAAGGACCGAAGGCTGAGTGGAGGAGCAGGTACCCCGTGACCCCTCCCCTGATGCATGGGTCCCCTCGTCCCCAGTCTCCCCCGCTCCTTCCTCTGTGCAGTGCTGCAGCCAGGCCGCATCTTGCTGTGGTTTGGAACCGTCTTGTGTCCTGCCCTTCCACAGGTCCTGGGCCACGTGGGCTCTGTCCACTGGAGGGCTCTAGATTGGCTGGGGTTCAGAGCAGTCTTGCCTCTAGGTTGCCGTGGGCAGCGTGACTTCCAGAGCTCAGGAACCAGAAGCTCTTAGAGGGAGAGCCCAGGCCCGGCCTTGGGGACATGGGTGGCTGGTTAAGTTCAGGAGGGTAGAGTTTGCCCCTGCGAGTCTGTGAAACTCTGAATAAGAGCAGAAACTGGATTTAGGGCAATTTGAGGCCACCACACCTTGTCCTCCTCTACAGAAGTCCTACTGCCCCTGCTCCATCATGCTCTTGAGGGAGGCAGAGTTGGAAACACGTCCCATCCCTGCACTAGCTCAAGGATGCTTGGTCAACTCCCACCCGTCTGGCCATTGCTCTGGCCAGCTGCCGTGAGAAGGGTCCTGCTGGCCTCTGCGGGGCCCCTGGCCCCCGCCCTTTGGCTCACCCACTGTTGCTGGCATTGCATGCCTCCGGCTTGACAGAGCAGATGCAGAGCCCTGGCTTGAGATGGGCCTCTGTGCTGTTGGAAGAACGGGTCTCGCTGGCCGCTTTGCTTGCGTGAATCCTTGCCCCGCCTGCTGGCGCCCGGCCCGCCTGCTGGCCCTCACGCGGGCTCCCGTCTCTGTCCACAGTGCCCTCAGCCAGCATGACCCGCCTCGCCCGCTCTCGCACCGCGTCCCTCACCAGCGCCAGCTCGGTGGACGGCAGCCGCGCGCAGGCCTGCACCCACTCGGAGAGCAGTGAGGGGCTGGGCCAGGTCAACCACACCATGGAGGTGTCCTGTTGAAGCCCTCGGTCCCGTGAAGACGCCCACCTGCCCCCATCCTCCTCGACGTCCCACTGCCATCCTCGCGCCAGCTCCTTTTCCCTTTAGTTTATTTTTGTGAGGGCAAAGGGGAGCAAATGGGGTTACTTCTCTTTTGTTTAAAAAGATGAAGGGAGCCATCTTAGATGCTGCAGCAGAATGGTCTCCAGATGGTTTGAGGGGCTCACTCCTCCCCCACTCACCTTGTTAACTTGCTTGGCTGACTTAGACCCCTCTCTTCCAACTCTCCATGGCCCGGGCACAGTCAGGGCAGGGGTCCTGGGAGAAAGGAGATTAGCTAAGGAAAGAGATGAGTCTTTCTCTGGCCACGCTCCAGGATAGTATCCTGGATTAAAGAGTGAGCATGGACGACCCCCCCGGGCAGGCAGGTTTGAAGATGGGACGGGGTTTTGGGTGGTGGGATAGCAGGAGCACGAGGTCCAGCTCGGGCACTGGCATGAGAGCCAGGTGTCTCCTGGCTGTCTGCAGTGGGGAGCCCTGGGAGGCAGGGAGCCCTGGAGCTCTGCAGGCCCCTTTCCCCTCACCCCTCCATCAAACACCTCTGTTTCTGTCTTGTAGCACACATGACAATCATCTGAACAGTGGCCACAAGGGGGTGCTCTGCAGGGCTAGTGCTGTAGGGCCAGGCAGGCAGAAGCTGAAGAGAGTTTTCCTGCCCAAGGAAGATAGAACAGGGAGGACCCTGAGGGCAGGAACCCCACAGACTGTTCCTTCCAGCCTATGCTCTCCACCACCTCCTGGCCTTGTCCCATTTCTAGCCAGGACCCTGAAGCAGAAAGTCGCCTGGTCCTCCATCTCCACAGGGACCAGACTTGGGGGCCGAGGTTAAAGGCTGGGATAGCCTGTGAGTGTTGGGTGCACCCCTGAGAACTTGGTGGTGACTGCCTTTGGGAGCCAGCAGGAGCGGTGGCTGAGAGTTCCTGTAGACCCCTTTTTGCCCCCAGGTTCCATGGAGGACAACCCAATCAGCAGCAGTGTAGCCAAGGCCACCAGAAACGTGTATTTCTAGGGAAAGTTCTGGTCAAGCTGTGCCAGTGTGTCATGTAAGCATCACTAAGAAAGAAGAGAAAGTTTATTTGGAGAGAACTGGTCCAGGGTAGCCAGACTTCGCAGCCCCACATCACCATCTCAGCCTGTTGGAGCGGGCTGGGCCTGGGGCTCGCTGGGTCCTGGGGTGGGAGGTGAAGGTTCCTGCAGAGAACAAGGGCCAGGCAGAGGAGAAAGGCTCCCCACACACCCCAGCCCCCTCCTGCCGCCCGAAGCCCAGGACTGAACAAATACTCCCATCCACCCACCTTATCAGGTAGAATCTCCTGGCCCGGAAACCAGAAGCCATTTGTCTCAGCCTAAATCAGTTGCCACAAACCCCCAAACCAGTAAAGATAGGGGGTGGGGGGGAGAACAATGAAAAATGCAGGGCTGTGGAGGGGGTGTGTATGGGGTGCTCTGAGGCTGGGAGGACACCTGCATCCCCATTTCCTCTACACACACCACCCCCTTCTATAATCTTAAGCCATTACTAGACTCCTCTAGAGCCCGGTGGAGTGTTAGTCTGCCCCCAGTTCTATTCACTCATGTGCTTCCTTCGAGTATTGAATGTGACTGTTTGAAGAGCTGGTAGGATTAATCCCTGTTACTGTAGATAGCGCTGCGAATCTTGGATTTTCTTTTTTGCCGTGTTCTTTCAGATGAGATACCTATAAATATCTATACATTATATATATATGTATATTGGGTCCTCCTGCGTGTGGATTTCCATTGGAGGTTGTCTCTTCTTTGGTCAAAGTGAACTTTTAACGGAGTTTATTATTTTCCTCTCTGTACAAAGTGAAGAGCCTAATTTTGTGTATTCTGGTGGCTGATGTCATGAGACTTTGAGATGACAAAATGTAAAACAAATAAAAACCCTTGTCAATGTAGAAAGAGTTAACTGTGCTGAAAAACTAATAAAGAAACTAAGAAGATTTCGAGTATGGTGACGCCATGTCCATCGTGGGAAGATTTTGAGCAGACATGTTTAGGCTGGTGAGGCTGGTGCGTCTTGGGTTTAGGTCGGGTTGGGGGTGTCAGGTGAGGATAGGCGTTTCCATCCATCTCTATGTTTCCAGTTCTGGTCACATTATCTTACCAATCCTTACATTAACTCTACCGGGTAGATATTATCTTAGTTTCAAGGCTGAGGAAACTGAGCGTAAGGATAAAGGATTTGCCCTAATTGGAGGCCAAGCCGGCAGCTGGCTTTGGCATCGTTTCACTTCAAAACCCATGCTTCTAACCTCTATATTCCCGGCCTCCTTTTCTTACAGTTAACAGCATGCTACTTCCCCATGTTTAACCACCGTTTCTGATTCATTCACTCATCCATTTACCCAATAAATAAATATTGAGTTCCTGCTGTGTGTCAGCTAATAAGGAAGTAAATAAAAATAAAACTCATCATGTGCTTGCAGAAAATGAAAACGAGGGCTATAGTAGCAAGTGCGGACAGAGGAGGTCTATTCTAGATCTAGGAGCCCTCCCCACGCCACTCCGACATACACAAACACACAAACTGCTCTAATTGAGCAAATAAAAACGGTTAGATGACGAGGGGTCGAGATCAGGAAGGCAGGCCGGCCGCCCACCTGGGTGCGCTCACAGCCGGCCAGCCGCGAGGCCATGGGCTTCGCATCCAGAAACCAGATTTTGTTCTTCACCCGGACCTCTACGCCCAGAGGTCGCAGCTGTCGGAGACCAAAGGGGAGGGTTGTGCCCGGCTCAGAACCAGGCTCGAGGCGGCACGGGGACACGTCTTCCTGCACCCGACCGCACATTTTCTAAACCCAATTGGGGACGCCCGGACTCAAGAAGGATGTTCTCAGGTGGAAAGACTTCACCAGGCGCAAATCCGCACTGGTCTTCCGCGTGGACGCTGCAACCAGCGTCACGTGGCCCTGGCGCCGGGGCGGGGACAGAGGCCCCGCCCCGAGGTGTGGCTGGGGACAGCGGAAGCGTCCGCGCGGGTGTAGTGACCGGCGGGGCCCGGCGCCCTCGGGCCATGGCGACCCAGGCGAAGCGCCGGCGGGTAAGTCGCGGTTGGCCGGCGCGGGCCCACCGCTGCCCACCGCGCCGCGCGCCTCTCCCGCGCCCCGCTCCCTCCCGCGCATGCCCCGCCGCTCCCGCCTCCCCTCCCCCACCCGAGCCCTCGCCCCACGCGCCGCGGCCTCCTCCCGCCCCCGCGAGCTCTCCGGGCGGGGCCTCGCCACTGCGCTCGTTTGTCTCAGGTGGCGGGGCCTGCGGGTGCCGGCGACCCGGACCCGGACCCGGTGGCCGGCTTCCTGAGCTGGTGCCGGCGGGTGGGGCTGGAGCTGAGTCCCAAGGTGAGTGCGGGGGCGGGCGGCGGGGCGGAGGCGGGCGCGGGCCAGCTCTGACCGGCCGCTCCCCCTGCTCAGGTGGCGGTGAGCCGGCAGGGCACGGTGGCCGGCTACGGCATGGTGGCCCAGGAGAGCGTGCAGCCCGGGGAGCTGCTGTTCGCGGTGCCGCGGGCCGCGCTCCTGTCGCAGCACACCTGCTCCATCAGCGGCCTGCTGGAGCGAGGTGGGCACGCCGGCGAGGGAGGGGACATCGAGGCGGGCCCGCGGGGCCACGCCGGGGCTCTCACCTCTGTGTCTCCGGCAGAGCGAGGCGCGCTGCAGAGCCAGTCGGGCTGGGTACCGCTGCTGCTGGCGCTGCTGCACGAGCTGCAGGCCCCGGCCTCGCCCTGGAGCCCCTACTTTGCCCTCTGGCCCGAGCTGGGCCGCTTGGAGCACCCGATGTTCTGGTGAGAGCCGTAGGAGCGGGTGGGGAGCGCCAGCACTTTAGCCTGGCTCCAACTGCCCTGCCCCGGGGATAGGGCTTTCAAGCACTAGTCCTGGTAGTGTGTGTGAAGGGAACGTGAGTGGGGGTGTCACTGCAGGCCAGAGGAGCAGCGCCGGCAATTGCTGCAGGGCACAGGCGTACCTGAGGCCGTGGAGAAGGATTTGGCCAACATCCGCAGCGAGTACTATTCCATCGTGCTGCCCTTCATGGAAGCCCACCCTGATCTTTTCAGCCCCAGGGTTCGCTCCCTGGAACTCTACCACCAGCTGGTAGCTCTTGTGATGGCCTACAGGTCAGTGAGCAGAGCCTTAAGAACCCTTTTCTTTTAGAATTCTGTTGAGGGACAGAGAACCCCACCCCCAGTTTCTCATCCTACACTGGGCTTTAGCCAAGTTCTCTCTGTGGCAGCTTTCAGGAACCACTGGAGGAAGAGGAGGATGAAAAGGAGCCAAACTCTCCTTTGATGGTGCCTGCTGCAGACATACTAAACCACTTAGCCAATCACAATGCCAATCTAGAATACTCTCCAGTGAGTGGATCCCTCCCAGTTCTTGTTCTTATGTGCATTGATGACTGGGCATTTGATTCAAACGTGCCTGTCATTTATGCTGGCCTGGCAGTTGGGCTAAATGGGCTCCATTCTCCTCGTGCTGAAAATGAAGTGAAGTTAGCTCCTCCTGTGTGTACTTTGTTTGCATATTCCAGTGAAATAGTTTGAACACAAAACATCTCAAAGCCCTCAAAAGAAAGTTGCAGTTAATCCTCTGATATACTTTTATTTGGTGCTAGAGCTTGGCTACTCTGCAGTGCCAGTGAACCAAGACTGTGCTGGGGCCCTGTGGACAGCAGCCTGGAACAGCTGTAGTGTCAATACTTTTGGGGAGGAAGGGGGAGGGGAGGGGATGTTCATAGGTCAGAGGTCTACGATGATACCAGGGCTGTGTTTATATATCAGTTCTGTTTGCTATATGGAAGGTTGCAAGAAAAGATCCAAGTTTATAGAATTAAAAATTAGGGAATGGCTATTTTTTTAATCCTTACCTCCATTTGTGATTGCTACTTTGATCTGCCCTTAATTGTTCATTTTTAAAATGTAACAACTTTTTAAGTGCTGAAGATGACATAGCAGAGAGTCACCTAATAAAAGATTGAGGCTGATTTCAACCTTTGTAAGCCTCACCTCTTTCAGGAACTAAGGGCAGAATGTTGGTAGGTATCAGTCCCATTGCTGAACTATACCTGCCGGAGGCTCTTCCCAAGAGGGAAGTAATCTTCATGGGCCTGGCCATGTAAGGGCCTGGCCCCAGCTTCTCCCTTCCACCCCAGAATTGTCTTCGGATGGTGGCCACTCAGCCCATTCCTAAAGGCCATGAGATTTTCAACACTTATGGGCAAATGGCTAATTGGCAACTAATTCATATGTACGGTTTTGTTGAACCATATCCTGACAACACGGATGACACAGCTGACATTCAGATGGTGACAGTTCGTGAAGCAGCATTACAGGGTAAGTATCTAATTAACACAACCTTGGACACGGGCGGATATGTCTCTATCCCCACCCCAGGTACTCTGCTAAATAGCAGTTGCCCCTGTTTTGTGGACAAGGTGGTAGACTAAGGAAAAATGAGCTCTTTGGTATACTGAGACTTCCACGCTATTACTTTTCTATCTACAGGAACAAAAGTTGAAGCTGAAAAGCTCCTACTGTATGAACGCTGGGAGTTCTTATGCAAGCTGGAGATGGTAGGGGAAGAGGGAGCCTTTGTGATTGGGCGGAAGGAAGTGCTGACTGAAGAGGAACTGACTGCCACACTCAAGGTAAAGAGCTGAAAATGACCATTTAATGCTGAAAATGGCTTAAGTATTTAGAGCTAGGTGAAAGAGGAAAGGTGGGATGGAGGGAGAGGACACTTGAATGCTGCCAATATAGGTTGGCTTCTCTAAATCAATTTCAGCAATATACAAGTAGTACATCCTAATTAAATGGGCCCTATGGTTGCTTCTAGGTACTGTGCATGCCTGCTGAGGAGTTCAGGGAGTTTAAAGACCAGGATGGATGGGCAGATGATAAAAAGGAAGAGGACAGCCTGACAATCACAAATATCCCCAAGCTCAAAGCATCCTGGAGACAGCTTCTGCGCAACAGTGTTTTGTTGACCCTGCAAACCTATGCGACAGACCTAAAAGCGGATCAAGATTTACTCAGTAATAAGGAGGTCTACGCCAAACTCAGCTGGAGGGAACAGCAGGCCTTACAGGTTCGTTATGGGCAGAAGATGATCTTACACCAGTTGTTGGAATTAACAAATTAGCAGGTTTCCTATTAGCTGAAGAACCTCCATGAGAAGACATATTTTTATTCTGATAGTCATCGATGCTTGAAAAGAAGGAAAATTTGGACCTTTTGCTTTGCTTTTCTTATAAATAACAAAAGGAAAAGTAGTAAAGGTGTGGTGCTAGGATTAACTCGGAGGTAAGGGTGACATATTTAAGGATTGGGAATCACTGCTAATTGTTTCTAAGACCAATAAATTTTATAGCTGTTTTGTTCTCAGTTTGAACCAAAGTTCAAAATGTGATGGTGATAGGTCTTGAAATGTGATGGTAATAGGTCTTGCTGTAGTCTAGCATTTAATGACATGGACTTTGAAAGTAGACCTGGTTCAACTCTGGGTTTATTTTGAGCAAGTCACTAAAGACCCTTCCTGTTAAAGAATTTAGTAAGCTATGTTGCTGGCGCTCAGAGCAATTGTTTTAATTCCTCAGCAGTGTGAAGTTTGTTCTAGATGGCACAACTCACCCTTATTCAGGGAAGAAACCCTAAGACACCAATGACATTCAAGCCCCACTCATGTAAGAAAGAAAGTTTTCTACCATTTAATCTTGAACCTTTTTGTCCTCTCTGGCCATAAAACTTGACAGTCATTAAAGGTAAGGTATTAAGTGGAATGAGTTTTAAATAGATACTTATTTTCTTTTAAAAATTATATCAAAACACCCTGAGGGTAAAGGATATTTAAAAATGGGGGGGGGGGATTTTGTGATTCAGTTTAACCATAGACGCCTGCTCCAGCAATATTCCACTGTTGAAAAGAACAGGTAGAAACTCTATAGTGCCAGGTGGTTAGTACCAGTGGGAAAGATCTACCAGTCAAGTTGCTGGTGTTTCCCAGTGGCCCTGGGCTCTGCAAGGCTGGGCTGTCCACGTTCCTCCTCACCACCAGCACTGGTTGCTGCTACTGAGAAAGGCACAGTGGACTCGCATGTGTGTCATGACTTTAATGTTTAACTACAGTATGCAAACACATACAGGAAGTAGGGGAGCTAAAGCCCAGGAACTAGAAAGGCTACAAGATACAACACAGGGACCAATACATTTACAAAACATTCAAAATCCTTACAAAAGGGGTTGTATTGGTCCTTTTGACTTTGTTGTTCCACTTAGCCTGTATGGCCATTCACTGGAATAACAGGGGAGGGCAATTCATACTATTTGGTTCCCTTTCCTTTTCCCACAATTTACAATTATCAGGAGAGAGATGGGGGAGCTTTAGGCCTGGTATGGTTTCCCTTTATAAAAAAGAGCTGACTGCATCTCACAGGGCCCAAGGTGGTAGGTTCTCCAGCAGTCAACTCTAAATTTGAGGAAGAGACAAAACAAAAACCCATGGGATCGCAGCTGCCAGCTCTTCCCATGTTCCCTGGCATACCAAATTCTAGCACATCCACATTTTTAACAACTTAATGATTTTCAAGGTCCTCTGTCCACGTTAAAAAAATAAGTTACGTAATATTTAAACTGACTTTTTGCTGTTCTTTGGGACACCAGGAATGTCAGAAGACATGGAGCTATGCCCCAGACAAGGGCATGGCATCAGCAGCCTCATCAATTACAAGCTGGGCAGGTACCAGTTTCTCTACTTGCCTTGGACACATTTTGCACAAACCCAAGAAGTTCCAGACAAAGGTTTTCTCTTTCATATATTTACACAAGTTCAAAATGATATTCACAGCATCTTCTAAATTTTGGCCAAGAGTCAAAAAATGCATTTAAACTTTGGAACGTGCCCACATAGACAGGAAGCTGACCCAAACAGTAATTGGGGCAGATACCCGAGAACCAAAGGGCTGGGAAAGTCAGGAAGAGCTGAAAGGATTCTTCAGCCAGTTTATGAACGGTAGGATCTCCAGGCTGACACATTTACAAGAGAGATGCAGTTCCATCTAACTGGCACCTGTCCCTTCCATTACTTGCTGAGCCTGTTTCTGTCCCATGCAGCACTGTGCGACGGATTGGAATAACCTAAAGAATGGAGACAGAAGTTTATTTGTGAGAAAAGCCTGATAACACCTTGCATCTCATTAGCTTTGGCTACTATTGCCTTCTTAAATCACCCACCCAAGGTGGAGCCATCAAATGATTCTCGTTCACCTGTCAGACAATTAAAAAGTCCTTTTAACTCACTTTTCAATTTCTGGGGCACAATGTACAAACTCGTGGTTCCAGAACTTAAACGCTGGATTTTTAATCAGCTCAATGAAGGTAATAAGAAGACCCCAAGGATGTGGCCTATTTACAATCAACCGTTCCAAGAGAACCCTGGAGAAGGAGAAAAAGTTAGTCAATCCATAGAGAAACATACAAATTCATGACTACTACTCCACTACCTTGCTTTCTAACTCTTCTCCCTGATTACTAAACTATATGCAGAAGTTGTTAGCTTTACTAAACACAAGTAGATCAATCTCTATACTCTATAGCATGGTTAATGCAAGCGGATTCTGGGATTAGAACACCTGGGTTTGAATCCTGCCTCTTCCAATTACTGAGCCTAGAAGACTAAGTTAAAGGAAGGGTAATATCAGATTACACGGCGCACAGAAAGTAATCACTTAAAGAATGCACACTCACTGACTACTAGTACATGTGTAAATTGGTGTAATTTTTCTTTTTTTTTTTTTGTGAGGAAGATCAGCCCTGAGCTAACATCCATGCCAACCCTCCTCTTTTTTGCTAAGGAAGACTGGCCCTAGGCTAACATCTGTGCTATCTTCCTCCACTTTTATATGGGATGCCGCCACAGCATGGCCTGACAAGCGATGTGTCAGTGTGCACCCAGGATCCGAACCCGGCTGGCCAGCAGTGGAGCCCAGTGGAGCGCGCACTTAACCGCTACGCCACGGGGCCGACCCCGGTGTAATTTTTCTGAATGGCAGTATTGGCTTAAATATTCATATCCTTTGGCCTAATCAATTGTACTTCTAAATTTACCCTAAGGAAATAAGCATAAGAACAAAGATAAGTACAAGGAAGTTCATTACAGCTTTATATATAATCACAAAATAGGACATTATCATCTAACATCCAATAAAATACCAATTTGTGGTATATAAATCTAAGGAATACCATATCTAATACCCAGAAACAATATTTGGTGAAGGGGCAAGTTTAAAAAGTCTTGTCCAGTTTTTCATTTTAAAGTATGTACTATCTCTGTCACTAGAATCTACCCACTTCCCAGTCTCTAATGCTGTATACAGTCTTAAGCAATCTGCAAGAGATTCCTAACTATTGTTAGGAAAACACAAGTATGATGATCCTGTTATTTCTCCTGCTTAAAACCTTTCAAACCCAGAGGTAATGAAAAGTCCAAGCTCTTTAATAGGTCTGTGTGATTCAGGATTCTAATTAAAACTGCCACCACCACCTGAGAGAAACTCCTGACTGTCAAACAAAATGTTGGTGCCTTTTGTTGTAAACTAGTTTTTATTTCAGCAATGATTATGATTTGTGATTCTCTACTTTTGAGTTTTTGTGTCCATCAGATTAATTTTTAGGAGGGCAAGAACCATGACCATTTTGTTCACAACTATATCCCACATTTAACACATGTAAAAGATGTTTTAAATAGACATGTAAAAGATGCTCAATGAACCCTGAACGCATAGAAAAAACACTCACAGTATTCAAAATAAAGGGAAAGAGGCATCATTCAGAAACGTCTGAAAAACAAAATTCTTTCTTACCTTGTGATCTGTTCTTGGATAGCTTCAGTGTTGGCCTCTGCAAAAAGGTACAGCATGGTGCAGCTGAAGTAGTGAGTGTGGCTATTTGGGTACCGCAGCTGATTTGCAATTGCATTCAAGAAGAGATACCGACCTAGAAATCAAGAAAACTCAGCTTGGTGAGGAGTTGGCTCTGAATGGTCAACATGAGAAGACAAATCATTCTGACTGGCTAGGGTTTGGAGTTCTGATATAAGCTTTCAAATTATTCTTTGGTTTCAACCAGTGGTTTTCAGGTCCCCAGAGAGTTTTCATTACTGTGGGGTTTTTTTTTAATAATTTTATTTATTTTTCCCCCAAAGCCCCAGTAGATAGTTCTATGTCACAGCTGCACATCCTTCTAGTTGCTGTATGTGGGATGCGGCCTCAGCATGGCCGGAGAAGTGGTGCGTCAGTGTGCGCCCGAGATCCGAACCCGGGCCGCCAGTAGCAGAGCGCACACTTAACCGCTAAGCCACAGGGCCGGCCCTCTGTGGGTTTTATTTCAGTATTTTAAAAAGGATTTTAAAATATTAATTTAAAAATAAAAGACCTACTGCATATTAATAGAACATTATTAAGTGTTTTCCAAAAAGACTTCGTGGAGTTTGTTACTGTTTTTTACATTTCACAGATCTCTTTAGTGTTGCTTAATAGAAGACAGCTGGATTCTCATTTTTGCCTCTGTGTTCAGTCTGTTTCAATATTATATTTCATGTAGCCTCTGGAAAACTCCACTGTACACTTGTGACAAATGAGTGTGAAAAAAAGCAAATGTCTTATTATGAAAATAGTTTTGACCTCACACAGTGCTTCTTTTGTGTTTTTTTTTTTTTTTTTTTTTTTTTGGTGAGGGAGATCAGCCCTGAGCTAACATCCGTGCTAATCCTCTTTTTGCTGAGGAAGACGGGCTCTGAGCTAACATCTATTGCCAATCCTCCTCCTTTTTTCTTCCCCAAAGCCCCAGTAGATAGTTGTATGTCATAGTCGCACATCCTTCTAGTTGCCGTATGTGGGACGCAGCCTCAGCATGGCCGGAGAAGCGGTGCGTCGGTGTGTGCCCGGGATCTGATACAGTGCTTCTAAAAGGGTGTTAGGGACACCCCCAAGGGTTCCCAGACCACATTTTGAGATCTGCTAGTTTAAACTACATTGGAAAAAATATCTATTATCTTAACTGGGTTTGGTTGTCTGCCTTTGCTTGATATTACTCATGTTTGTAAGGCTATCACAATGAGCTTTAACACTTCCCCTAAAGGCTGCCCTTCTTTTTTTGCTGGGCTCTGGACATAATGGTATTCAATTATGTTAAATCTTGATTTTGGGCCGGCCCGGTGGCTTAGCAGTTAAGTGCATGCGCTCCGCTACTGGCGGCCCGGGTTTGGATCCCGGGTGTGCACCGACGCACTGCTTCTCTGGCCATCCTGAGGCCGCGTCCCACATACAGCACCTAGAAAGATGTGCGACTGTGACATACAACTATCTACTGGG